TAAGTTTGTTCGAAACGTCGATATATGATAACAATATTTCGTCATTAACCACAAAAATACTTACAATTATATTATTTTCGTTGCCTATTGAATTTATTAGTGCTTTAATATGTATTTTTTTTGTCATTACTGACACGCCGAAATATTTTCTTCGTATTCAGGTCAGAAACTAGTTAGTTTGAAAAGATAAGTAATAGCCTGACTAATGAGCCATAACATGGTTATGAAATGTAAAAAAAATAGATACGAAGAGTGAAAGCGAAAACAGAAAAATAAGAAAAAAAGATGCGGAGGAGCTGCTGATATATAATCAACGAATATTACTAATATTTTCACATTCAAAATCAAACATCCTATACGCAGCAATATAAGGTAAGCAGTGTATTTATCCAATATTATAAACTCTTAGCGCGTAGTGTAAACAAATAAGTTGTTGTTAATACTGCAGCAAAAGTAGGAACAACTTATATCATTTGTGAGTCAGTACAGAATCATTTGAGAAAATATAAAACTTAAATATATTTCGAAAATATGGAGGGTTTATATTTAACTTGATGTTTTCATTGTTAGATAACTTTGATCAAGTTTTTTTCATTATTGCATTATAATGATCGTAGTCTTTACTGAAGTTTATTTAGTTTCTCATATCAGATCAGTTTTAAATAATTTTATTCGATCAGATATTCATTTAAAAACAGGTTTAACAAGAAATACAAGATGTAAATAAAAGTACAATGAAATAGATAGTTAGCATCTGTATGAATTAGTAAAGAAGTCAATGTCGAAGACCAGGCTGGATAGTTCAAGTGAATCTTCGGTTTATTCAGACTATTTCATGTGTATGACAGAGTGAGATACCCAAGCAGACAAGATTTTGCAAAAACGCGTGTAAGCGCTTTTATAAACAAATATCGTTTCGTATTTTACAGGTAGAAAAATATTTTCTCAAAAGAAAATAAATATTTCATAGAGAAAACTTTGTGATTTATATTCAAAAGTTAATATACGAACAAGTTCTCTCAGTTTATTTCTGTATTGAAAATATTCTAAATGAGAAAATTTAAACTTTGCGTTTTTCTATTTTTAAATTATCTCAAAAAATTAAATAATAGTTCTAATAGTCGAAATAGTTCTTTATTTATTGTTTTGAAACAAAAATATTATAGGAATATTCTTTAGTATTTTCAAATATTTTTATATAAATTAAATTAAGATAAAATATTTATTTTTCAGTTATTCTCAAATAAAATCATTCTATTTTGTTTTTATTAAGATTTTTATCAATCATATCATTCTACAACTGATACAACAGATATGTCAATGGATACAATAGCAAAACTATGTGAAAATCTAACTCACTCTCAAATAAAAGAAAGTATGTTTCATTAAATAATAAGAATATCAATTTTGTCTAAAAAATAGTTTCATTGTCTTTCAAATTCAGATAGAACTTTTTCATAAATTATTTTTATTAATTAAATAACAATTTCTCTAGAAACAATATTTATAAAACTATTCATAATTTTGTTCTTTTCTATTTTTATATCACTTGATATAACACTGAAGAGAGATCTCATCCATCGTTTTTGAATTATTTTTCCCATTGAGAATATTATTAAACAAATGTTTAAAATAGAAATTCTTTTGAAAAGTAACATGAAGTTTTTCATTTAAAATATTTCCTTTAAATTAATTTATATGAATAAGAATAGAATTTAACATCGAAAGTTTTCTTTTCTAATTAAAATAAACATTTATAGAATTGTTAATCAAATTAATCAGTTCGAATAATTTTGAAAAAAGAAATTGTAATTATAGTAAGAATTCAATATATTTATTGAAGAATAAAATATTATATTTACATTTTATAAAATAATCTTGATTTAAAATTAAAATTAATTTCATTTTCTTTCAATCAAAGCACATTTCAAATATTCTCCTCAAGATTTTATTTTAAATTCATTAGAATTCTATATGAAATATTTTATTGTTAAATAATTTTAAAATATTTTTTAAAGTTTGAATAAAATTAATTTGAAATATTATTTCAATAGATTAATAAATTAACAATTTCTTATAAAATCATTACTTTCTTGTTTTTAAATTGTTCAATAGATTTAAGTTAAGTTTAACTATTTAGGTTAGAATTTTCCGACAAAACATTCTTGAATTTATTAATAAAACAAGAAGTTTTTAATCGATTTTATTTATTTCATTGAAACAAAAATGATTTTCATTTAAAAAAACTTCTAATTAAAAAATCTAAAGAAATTATTTGAAATTAACTTTGTTCATTAACAATCAAATTTAACAAAATAAGAATTTTATTTTATTGAAACAAATTCAAATACAAGTTGTCTTCTTACTTCCATCTTTTTTGATTCAAGAATGGCGAAAAAGATTTTGAATAAAAAGAGAATCTTTTATTTTAGACCAAATTCAAACAAAAAAGAATAAATATCAACAATTTGGAATTACTGTTGCTGGAGGAAATGCATGCGGACAGGAATTAAATCAACTGAGTCTTCCTCTTGGGATGTTTATTGATAATGATAAATCGATTTATGTTGCTGATACTGATAATCATCGTATTGTTAAATGGAAATTGGATTCAAATGAAGGTCAAATCATTGCAGGTGGAAATGGAAAAGGAAATCAAAATAATCAATTGAGTTGTCCAAGAAATATCATTTTTGATAAAAAAAACAATTCTTTTATTATTTCTGATTATGGGAACAAACGCGTAGTTCGATATTTTGATAAAAATCAAACTAATCAACAAATTATTATTTCAAATATTGATTGTCATGGTCTGACAATTGATAAAAATGGATTTATTTATGTTTGTGATTATGGAAAAAATGAAGTAAGACGATGGAAAGAAGGAGATGTAGAAGGTGAATTAGTTGCAGGTGGAAATGGTCAAGGAAATCATCTTAATCAACTCAATCAACCTACTAATATCTTTGTTGATGATGATTATTCTATTTATATATCAGATTATGGGAATGATCGTGTGATGAAATGGACAAAAGGTGCAAAAGAAGGAATTATTGTTGCTGGTGGAAATGGTCAAGGAAATAGTCTCAAACAAGTGTCATGTCCTCAAGGAGTGATTGTTGATCATTTGGGTCAAATTTATGTGGCAGATACTGGGAATAATCGAGTAATGCGTTGGTGTGAAGGAGATGAAGAAGGTGAAATTATTGTTGGTGGAAATGGTGAAGGAATTCAATCAAATCAATTGAATTATCCTAATGATTTATCATTTGATGATGAAGAGAATCTTTACGTTGCTGATTCTTTAAATAATCGAATCCAAAAATTCGAAAAAATCATAAATTAAGAGTCTTTTTAATTTAATTTGATAAAAACTGATTTTTATTTTTGAAAATAAATAAAAAACATAAGTTAATGAAAAATCTTCAACAAAAATGAATGAAAATAAATAAATAAATTTGGTTTTCATTTTTAGAAAGAAAGTAGGTAATTATTTTGTTAATAAAATAATGCGGATAGAGTTTTTGTTGAATGAATCAAATCAAAAAAATTTCAAAGAAACTAGAATTATAGAAAATCAAATAAAATATTTTTCAGATTTTGAGAAAAAACATTGACATTAATAAAAAAGAATTCAAATTATAAACAAATTATTTTTTTATTAGATTTAATTTTGTGATTTTATGACTTATTGAAAGAAAGTGAAGAGAAAAGAAAAAGAAACAAATGAATAAGGATGAAATCTGTCAAAATCGAAAAATTAGATGAATATAATCTGTTTTTTAAAAGAAAAAATTCTTTTCACATTTGAATCACATTTTAATCATCTAAATCGCTTTTAAATCAGTTAAATCACTCTTAAAAGAGGTTAAATCATATGAAAAAATCAATTACTATGATTTAAACTGAATTAAATCATTTAAATTACAAAAATCATAAATCGCTTTTTCTCCCTTGAATATCTCTTTTTAATACACGATCGGCATGTGAAAATCATAGAAGTTCTTCTATTTTGAAGATAATAAATAAATCTTTATTTTTCTTCGAAATAATCATAAAATAAACATACATGAAAGAAGAAGAAGAAGAAGAAGAGAAAACAAAATTTCAACAATAGTTAGGAATCATCTAATTTTCCTGTTGATATATCAATTAATTTTGGATAACGTAACGATTTATTATCTAATTTGTCTTGCATATATGTAACCATTCGAACAAGCATAGATAAATCCGATTCTGATTGTTCATTTTGATGAATTAATAAAGCACTATTAATTTCATTAGCAACCTGTTGTCGATGTGATATTTGCATTAAATAACCATAGGGAGATTCTAATGGTTTATCAAAAACTAATAATGCCATAGTTTTTTCTAATTCTTGTCGCATAAGTATTTCATCTTCAGCAAATTCAGCTAAATGAATTTGAGCATAAGATAAAGCATCATCGATTAAATTTAAACGAATTAATTCAATTAAATGTTGTTGCTAGAATAAAAATAAATAATACGATATGAAAAATCTTAAAACGATAAGTACCTTTAAATGAAATGCTAATTGTCGATTTTGATCAAGTAATTCTGGTGCTTTCTTATTAATAATATCAATAGCTTCTTGAATTTTTCCATTTTCAATAGCTTCACGAATTTTTAAACGTTCATCAACTGATGTCAAATCAATATTATTTAATGACATACCAGTTTCTTCAGCAAATTTCTCAGCTGCTTCTTTAAATCCTTCTAGATAAAAGAAAAAAAAAGCGTCAATATTTAGATTAAATATATATATATATACCAGTAATAAGATAATTAATAATTAAGCGATTTAATGATGATCTTTCTAAATGTTGTTGTTCAATGGCTTCCATCCATTCATTTTTTGTTGCTGTTTGATGAATAGGTGTTAATGCATGACTTTCCGATGTTGATGAAGCTGATGATGTATTTGATAGAGCCATAACAGCTGCTACAGCTGCCTATATTTTAAATAAAATTAAAATATATGAAAATAATTAGAAGAAAAAAATTTACTTGAAGTGGTGGAGCAAAATGTGCATGCATCTTATTTAATTATCGAAATAAAAACGTTTTTTTTCTCCTTTTTATTGAATATACAAGCATATAAAAATAAGAATGGATAAATATATCAAGCAATACGAAGTAACTATTGTAAGATAGATCATCAACCAACGACATCTGTTATAAAAACATCTTCAGGGTGTGTCAATAGTTTGAACTAGTCAGATGCAGTATCGGATATATCATGCCGGACATTGTTAAACTGTTTCCTATTTATACAAGTGAATGAAATGCATGGAAGTGAAACCAATGAATTTTAATTTATTACCAAACGAAATCTTACTTGCTTTCTTCGAATATTTGAATGGTAATGATCTTTTTCATACATTTTATGGTCTCAATGCTCGTATCAATGCTCTTCTCTACAAACAATATCGATGTTATTACTTCAACTTCTTCGTACTGCCCAAACATAATTTTGATCTAATATGTCAACAACATATTCCAATGATCACGGATCGCATTCTTGCTCTGCATCTTTCCGATTCTGAATGGACTCCAGGACAAGTCGATCTATTTTTTTCTCATATACTATCATTGAGACAATTTACTCATTTACGATCCCTTTCATTATCTTATCTTGGTTCAAAAGAAATTCTAGTAAAAGTCGCCATTGAATTGCCTCATCTTATTCAATTGACTCATTTAAAGTTCTATACTTGTTGTATTCCAGATTATGATGAAAGGAGTTTCAAATTGCTGACGAATAATATTTGGAACATGCCAAACTTAACTCATTGTTACTTCGATATTCAGGAGACAAGACAAAAATCGTTTATTATACCGTCAAAGATGTCGTTATCACTCAAATATTTATACATCCATATCGAGAAATTAAACTGGAATACAATCAATCAATTGTTTCAATATACACCTTATCTCAAATATTTTCAGGGATATATTAATTCTGACAAAAATAACAATTATACAAGATCATCGTTTTCATCACTGACCAATTTAAACATTTCTATTACTGAGATTCATCCACCGACGAGCATCTCATTTTTACAGAATACACCAAATTTACACCATCTGAACATTGAAATATCGGGTTACTATTTCATTGATGGTCGTCAATGGGAAGATCTCATACGTAACTATTTACCAAAACTGAGAACATTTCACTTGTCAATCAAAAACTATTCATATATTGTTCAATCAATGACAGAGGAACAAATTGATGAATTAATGAATTCATTTCGAACTTCATTTTGGATTGATGAACGTCGATGGTTTGTTCGATGCATAAGTAACGAAGATTGTGTTTCTTTTGAGACTGTGTCGAACGCATTTCATTATACTGATAAAAAGCTTCCTGGTGTGTTCAGATCAACAGATTCACAAGACAATATTGAAAGACTTTATACTACTATAGATCATATCTCGGATGTGACACTTTTCAATCAACCAATTTCGTCGAAGATTTATTTTCCAAAACTTCATTCTCTTTCAGTAAAATGTCCGATCAATGATCAATACTGGTCGATGATTTTAAATTTACATCACGTCTCATCACTTTCATTAAATTTATGTACTGACTTTTCACAATCTAAACTGCAAGCTTTACTGAATCGAATGCCTTATCTTCGTACATTGACTATTCATCAAGATGCATTATTACCTTTGCCAATGTCATTATTTAATTGTACATTTCCATCATCAATTCATTGTTTGGATTTAGAAAATTGTGAACATTATTTCAATGAAAAAGATTGTATTAGATTAACTCGTTCTTCCTTGGCGAGTCATTGTGAACGACTTGACATTCCAGTCAAGAATCTTCAAAGTATTAAGATTCTTGTGAATAACATAATCAATCTTTGTGCATTACGTGCTAGTTTTCCAGATGAACAAACCTATGAAAATAGGCCTTCAAGAATATGTAATGAAGATAAAGATATTCAATGGTTGATTGAACATTTACCATCAACCTGTGCAATAAGTAGAGATCCATCTTGTTTTAATGATATTCGAATATGGATTAAATAATATGACAATAATATTACTATGTAGATTAAATGATATATTGTTTTTCTTGTAAAATAAAAGTTATTCCAAATGAATAGATAATAGATCAATATCTTGAGGATGTGAGTACTTGTTATTTATTTATACTCTTATTCTCAATTTGAAGAGGTCAATGTCGATTAATTTCGTTCAACGTTGCTGATGTTCTTCTTGTTGATCGATTAAACTGAATATTTTCTGATTTTCTAATTTTTAATTAATGATAAAAATGAAAATGAGAAACCCTATGAGAACTCATTTTTCTGACAGTTTCAAGACTATAATTTATTTATAGTTGACCAACATAACATCACCATAACAGAAGATTATTTTTTCAAAAATATATAAATATCTAATTATTTCATTTATAAAACGACAAGATTTGCCTTGAATTTTCAATTATTATTCATAACAAAATCGATTTCAAGAATGTAAGTAACTGAATTATATTATCGTTAACATAATTCTCTTTATATCATTTTCAAATTGTAAAATTAGTTCCAATGTCTTGAAAAGAATTGATACTGTTTATGACATTAGTTGAGGGTGTGGGTGTGGATATCAGTTAAAGATCGCACCCACACTTAAATGCTTTTCTCAATTTGAAATATCTTTTCTTTGATTTTTCTATAAAAATAAAAATTTTCTTGACTGAATTCTCTTTGAAATTCTTTTAATTTGATGCAGTCAAATAAAATTCTATCCAGATTATTTTATTTATTTTAGTTTTTCAGTTTAAAATTATAATTAACAAAATGCTTATTTACTTTTTTTTCTAAAAATGGAAAAAATTTATTTATTTAATTAAAAGAAATTTTTTTTAATTTATTTTTATTTATTTTTGTTAAAGATTCACCATAAATTAATGTATTTTATTTATTTTCAAGAATAAAAATCGACATTTTGTCAAATTAAATTGAAAATATTTTTAATTTCAAATTTTTTCATATTTTTGGATTCGATGATTGAAACAATCAACAACATAAAGATTCTCTTCATGATCAAATGATAAACCTGTGGGACAATTCAATTGAGTTGATTGATTTCCTTCACCAGTTCCACCAACAACAACTTCACCTTCTTTATCTCCTTCACACCAACGCATTACTCGATGATTCCCATAATCTGCTACATAGATTTGACCTAGATGATCAACAATCACTCCATGAGGACCACCCAATTGATTGAGACTATTTCCTTTCCCATTCCCACCAGCAACAATAATTCCTTCTTTTGCATCTTTTTTCCATTTCATTACGCGATTATTTCCCCAATCTGATATATAAAGAGAATAATCTCCATCAATAAAGATATAATTAGGACTATTGAGTTGGTTAAGCTGATTTCCTTTACCATTTCCACCAGCAATTAATTCACCTTTTGTATCTCCTTGTTTATATCGTCTTACTTCATTATTCTGAGAATCAGAAACATAAATAAAGCCATTTTTATCGATTGTCAGACCCCAACAACTAATATTTGAAATAAGAATTTGTTGATTTTTACCAGAATATTGAATTACTCGTTTGTTGTCTTTATCAGAAATAATAAAAGAATTATTTTTTTTATCAATGAATATATGTGTTGGATAATTCAATTGATTATTTTGATTTCCTTTGCCATTTCCACCTGCAATGATTTGACCAGTATTTGAATTCAATTTCCATCTAACAATACGATGATTGAAGCGATCAACAATATAAATTGACTTATCATTATCAATACAGATCTCTTGAGGATAACTGAGTTGATTTGAATTTTCTCCTTGTCCATTTCCTCCAGCAACAGTAATTCCATATTGTTGATATTTATTCTTTTTTGTTTGAATTTGGTCTAAAATAAAAGATTTTCTTTTTATTCAAAATCTTTTTCATTATTTTTCGATCAAAAAAAGAACGAAAATGAGAAAAAAACTTGTATTTGAATTTGTGTTAATAAAATTAAATCTTTAAAGAATAAAATTGATTCCAAATCATTTCTTCATTCAATTGAGATTTTTAAATTAAAAATTGTTTATTTGATTTTCATAGAAGTTTAATTTACGAAAATCGTTTTTTTAAATGAAAGTCATTTTTGTTTCAATGAATTAAATAAAATCGATTGAAATTTCTTTTTTTTTATTAATAAATTAAATAATTATTTTTTTATTTGAAAATTCTAAACTAAAAAGTTAAATTTAACTTAAATCTATTTGACAACTTAAAAACAACAAACTTTTTTCATGAAAATACTAATACAGATTTTTCAAATGAACACAAATCTAAAGTCTATTTATTCCGAGAGATTTGTTTAGATTTCAATTTTCTATTTGAATAAATCTTTTAAAAAATATTAGTCTTATAAAAATTGTTATTTGATTAATCTGCTAAAATAATATTTTGAATTAGTTTTATTTAAATTTGTATAAATATTGTAAAATCATTTAACAATAAAATATTTTCTATAGAATTCTAATGACTTTATAATAAAAATCTTGAAGAGAATATTTGAAATGTGATTGATTAAGAGAAAAGAAAATTTTCACTGAATTTTGATCATTTTAATAATTTAAAAGTGAAAAAAATCGATTTGATTTTTATTTGGAAAATTTAATAATTTAAGACAAAAATAAAAATAATTTTAATTTTAAACAAAAATAATCTATTTGAGAAAGATTTCTTTTACTTTTAGTAATTGAAAAAAGCAGATAAAATTATTTATCCACATTTTCTTAATTTTTCATTTTTATTTGAGAAAAAAGAAACTAAATGATATTTAAAATTATTTATTTAACAAAATTATTTTAAAATAAATATTTAAACTAAAAAATGAATTGAAAATATTTCATAGAATTATTCTTACTAACATAAATAAATATTTTGAATAAATTCTATAGATGAAGTGATGATATTATTTGTAAAATTTATTTTATTTTATGACTCAAAAACAAAATAAATCAATATAAGATTTAGATTTTATTGAAGATTTTATAAAGTATAAAAATAGTATTTTATTTTCCAATAAATATATATTCGATTCTTTCTATAATCATAATTTCTTTTTTCACTATTATTCGAACTAATTAATTTGATTAACAATTCTATAAATGTTTGTTTTAAATAGAAAAGAAAACTTTCGATGTTAAATTTTGTCTTTTTCATATAAATTAATTTATAAAAAATATTTTGAATAAAAAACTTTGAGTTACTTTTCAAAAGAGTTTTTACTTTAAAGATTTATTTAATAATATTCTCCATATCTTAATGGGCAAAATAACTCGAAAACAATAAATGTGATCTCTTTTCGGTGTTATATTAGGTGATATAAAATAGAAAAGAAATAAATTATGAATAATTTTACAGGGCTGGGCAAGTATGTACTTTCTCGAGTACGAGTATTTCGAATATTTTGCTCATCTCTGTAATTTTATGAATATTGTTTCAAGAGAAATTGTTATTTCTTATCAAAAGAATAATATGCTTTGAAAAATTAATTTATGAGAAAGTTCTATCTCAATTTGAAAGACGATGAAACCATTTTTTAGACAAAATTACTATTATTGTTAGTTAATGAAACATACTTTGTTTTATTTGAGATTGAGTTGATATTTGAGCTGCTGTTATTGGATTCTTTGATATAGTTGCTGTACTAATTGTAGAATGACTTGATTGAGAAGAATCTTAATAAAAAATATTCAATGATTTTATTGGATAATAATAAAAAAATAAATACCCCCCCCCCAGTTTAGAAGCCTCCTGGTCTTAGACTATGTCCTCGCATCTCAACTACTGGAGGGGGTCTTTTATTTAGGGGGTTTTGTAAACTGTCATTTGCACGTGATGACAAATAATATCTGCCCTCCGTCTAGAGGTAGTGCTTCGTGAATCTATCAGGCGTATTAACTGAGTGATCTCATTAAAGCTATAATTCTCATATAGATGTATTCATCGAAGTCTCTTCTATGATAGAGAGAAAACTGCTTCTAGATATCTTTTTGCATTCGCGAGTTATTTCAAAGAATACGAAACTTGAGAAAACCGTACCATATTTAGCACGGTGAGCATGAAGGAGTTAGTTGTTATTCATCTCGTAGGGAGGATAAAAGAACTGCTGTTTATCTTTTCTCTATTCTGTCATGAAGCACGCCTCGTGCTTGTTTCTATTTATTTTTTATTTTGTGCTATAGAAATATCTGCCTGAAATACGGTAGAAGAGAAACCAGCTACAGGAAAATGAATTTAAAACAAACAGAACGAAAAAAAAATGAAAATTTTCACTAAAATAAAAAGTCTAAATGTTTCAGCACATTTTTTAGATATTTTTGTGAGAGGGGGCCTTGTATTATGTCTTTCAAACCATTTATCCATAGGGGTCTTTTAAAACAGAGGGTCTTTTACTATGGGAAGGGGTTTAATCTATGTTAATTTTATTTATATAAAAATACCAAAGAATATTAATATAATATTTTTGTTTTAAAAAAATAAATAAATAATAATTATTTAGATTATTAGAGCTATTGTTTAAGTTTTTGAAACAATTTTAAATGGAACAAATGAAAATTGAATATTAGGTTTTAAAATTCTTCCTAACAAAGAAGTAAAGACAGAATTTGTTCGTATTTTATCTTTTTAATATAAATCCTAGTTTTCTCTACAAAATATTTCTTTCTGTTTGAGAAAATATTTATGCATCTATAGAATACGAAATGATATTCTTTTATAAAAGACAATTTATTTGATTTTCAAAAACAAATTCTTTTAGATGATTTTTTTGTCTTTGGAGTTTTTGTTATCTCCAAATATAAGTAAGATGTTAAAATATTTTATTATAAAAAAGAAAGATAGAAATAGATAATAATAATTATTACTTTATATATTAGTTTGATCAAATGTTTAATACTCTTGAAACGGCAAATAAATTATTCTATTGAATTAGATTTTATTTTCACCGATCTTAAAAATATTCGTTTTATCATTTATCTTAGAAATAAAATTGTCAAAGTA